TCTCTGTGTATGTGAAAAAAATGAAATTTCGAAAATCGTGTAACTTTACTCCAAATTATTATTCCGGATTCGCATTTCGGACCTGCAAACCGGAAAGTGAGTCAACCTGCAATTTTGAACGTCTAAGTCACGGGACCAGCAAATAACTCTCGCTTATAGAGTTCTCTCTCATCCAGGTTCGACTGTATTTACAAATTTTTTATAAATTTCTTCGCAATAATTCAGTTATTTTTAATACAATTTTAATTGAATTCCTCGAAAAATTTAATTATTCTTGAAAATGATATTAAAATTCCTCGAAAAAATTCAATTTTGTTGATAATTCAATTTCGAGAAACATTCATTTATTCCTCGATTTATTCAATAAATTATTTATTTTTGTATTTAAATAATTTAGTTCTCGTAGAATTTTCCAATAAAATTTATTTAAAAATGAATATCAGTAAAAATTTTAGATAATAATTGAATATTAAAAGCAATATAGCATGAATTTTTTTAAATAATTGATAATTGAACTGTTTCGAAGAATTTTAATAAAATTTTTGAAAATAATTACATTAGTCAAAATTAGTAACTTAATCACATTCAACATTATATTATTAATTGAATTAGTTAAAGTATTTTTCTTAAAGATAACATGAATTTAAATTTTGCTTTTATGTTAAAAATAATTTTAGCATTTTATAACGTGTATTATTACTTTTTAAATAACTTTTTAATTTGTAAAATCCAGTTCTAGTATTGTCATATTTAGTTAGAAACTCACTACTTCATTCAGTAGGTTAAGTTACTAATTTATTTAATGGCCTCTATATTACCAATTAGAATTGTTAACTTTGACTAATTCACAGTAAACGAATCCGTCCTATTTGAATTAGTCAAAATCTACTGTGAATTAGTCAATATCTACTAATTCAAATTTAGAGAGTAAAGTACTTTGAGATGAACTAGTTCGACCTGTGTGTATATATTATATATACATGAAGGGGGGCCGACAACCTCAACAGGTCTCTGGCCTCCATTTATAGGGAAAAAGAAAAATTGGGTTCGCAACTCATAAAACTGACGACTCATAAGCATTACAATTTCCATCGACACGTTTCCCTTGGTGCAATTTATTAGACAAAAATAATATTTTACTGCCTTTCAGAATACTATCAGATATTTCTCTCCCTTTTACTATTATTCTTTATTTCCAATAAATTTAAATAACAATACAAGTAATATAAGAATAAAAAATATTCAATTATCGCTGAAACTTTGGAAACTTTTTACTACATCCGAAGATTAGAAAACATCTTTCGAACTTTGGAAACTTTTCACTATACAACCGAAGATTAGAAAAAATCTTTTCAACTTTGGAAACTTTTTACTATAACTGAAGAATAGAAAAAGTCTACTATAATCAAAAAAGCGTAATTTTTTCCACCCTAATTCGTTAAAATATTTTCGTGTCACTGTCTTCAGAAGAAAAAAAAAGAATTTTTCGATAAAGGCGTTTTTCTGTAACTCACTCGATTATTTTTAGTCATGATTGGTTTATGGGTGATGAATTGAAAACATTCTTGACATTTCTGAATGTATCAGTTATGTATCCAACGATTGGAACTAAAGTAAAATTCCGAAGAGCGCGCACTACTGTGTCAATGAACAACTGAGACTGTCACTTTGGTATAATATAGTGACACGAGAGTTGTAGAAAAAAATAAGAGACAAAGTGATTGTTAACGTCATGTCAACCGGATACGATGATGATTGCATAAGGATGCAGAGAGTGAATCAAGCTCGATTTCTGCTAAATTTCCGAGATCCAATTTTCAATCTTACAATCGGGACAAAGTCGTTTGTACACTGTAAAAAATTTAGGGAGTTAACGAACTCGGGAGTTGGGAGTGAAATTTTTCGAGTTAAAAATCAACTCCAAAAGAGAGTTAATTTCTAACTCCCTTCATTCAACACCCGCGCGAGTTATTTTTTCCTTGGGGAGTTAGCATTTGGGTGTGAAGTTTTAACTCTCTTTATTTAACTCCCCTGGCATTAACTCCCCAATGGGTGCGACTTTTATAGACCCCCCGGGGGAGTTAAAATTTAACTCCCTTTTTTTACAGTGTATATAGGAAAATTGAAGTCAATCAATTCTACTGCAAGGATCAATCACAATTTAAATACACTGAAACCCCACTTATTTGAACATGGCCCACGCAATTCGACACGAAGAGTCGCGTTTATTTATATTTTGATCGACATAACCTATGTTGGTGACGTAATTCGATAAATTGACATGATTGGTTGGTTTTGTTTGAACTCAACCAATGGGAATGTAAGTATCTTTCCATTGGTCGCGTACTGCGCATGAGCTAAAATAAGTGAGGTTAGGGCTGATTTTAACTACAAATAACTGAAGCAAAAACGGGTTCAAATAAACGCGACTTTAAGTAAACGAGACTTTAAATAAGTGGGGTTTCAGTGTATAACAGATAACTGAATTTTATTTAAAAAACTGAATTTTAACAAATTTTATTCATAACTGAATTTAATCTTTCAGAAGCAAGAAAAGAAATGAAATGTAGTAAACTATTTTCTTCTCTGAATACCGATTTTTGTTAAAACTTTGTCTTTGTTTTTTCCCTGAAATTTTTATTTTACAGTTTTCCTTAAATTTTAAACGTTCTATAATGAACGAAACATTTTTCTAACTTGTAGTTTTGTAAAAAAAAAAAAATAAAAAAATATTTTTCTCTCAAATGTTTTGAATATTTGGGGTACAAATAACACTACATTTCAGATAATAACCGGAATTCTGGTTGAACTAACTAAAAAGTGTACTTCCAATGTTAAATATACCCTAATAGAAAATTTTTTCATTGAGAGAGATGTGTTTGATTTTAGTCAAATAGAAATTATTTGAGTTAAATATAAAAGTATATTTGTTTTAGAATCTACTAACCTACTTAATTGTTTCAAATAAAAAATTTATTTAAAAACAAATATTCAGAGACAAATATTTTATCTACATATTTTTTCTGAATGTCAATTACTATCAACTGTATAAGATTATTTCAAGTGCCAAGTATCATTTTTACTTAAAATAAAAATTAATAAACTAAATTATAAATTAAATTAATTAATTGAACGATTAAATTAGTTTACTATTAAGATAGTAAATGCATGGAGAAAAAGGATTGTTAGTTTAACAATCGGTTAATATGGAACTAATATTTTTTTTGTCCTTAAAATTCAAATTTGTTTTTAATAACAATAAATTGGTTTTAAACAAAAAAAATTGTGTATACTATCAACAAAAGTACTTCAATCAAAAAAAGAAGTTCTATTTTAACAAATCTTTTTTTCGATGCTTTAATAATCACATATGTTAAATAAAAAAAGTGTTTGTTTATAAAAATCTTTCGCATTCACACACAAACCACAATGTTTTTCCGTGAATAAAAAAATTTACATTTTATCTCATGCCGGAAAGAGTCTGTTATCATTTCGTATTAGATAATAATAATTCTGGGGAAATGGAATAAAAAACTGAAATTGAGGTCTTCAAATTTATCTGTTCGTTATGCTTTAAAAAAAATGTTTTATACTTTAAACATACATTTTTTCCATGAATTTCATAATTTCTCCACATATATTACAGTGTAAATATGAATCAAAATGTTTATTTTTTTCAACCTCAAAAAGAAGAGAAAAAAATCTCAATCAGGTTTTCTGTGTGTATTTATATTGAACTGTAACGTGTATAAACTTGTAAAATTATATTCATATCGATTCCCTTCGTAATCGAGGCGTATCGAAATGACTGATAAAATACGATTAAAGCAATTTATTACTTGCATAATAAAGCAAATAAAGCGATCATCTATCATATCGCTATATAGGTGTACAACAAAAATCGGGTGGAGCCGAAACAATAATGTTTTGCACGAGTAGATATCCATTTTTTTCTTCTCAATATTATAGGTCGTGTATTATTTAATATTACAAATCAATCTGTGAAAAATATGTTATTTCTATGTCGAACGTTTACATTAACGTTGCGATATTTCAGAATTTTTTTTTATTTGTATATTAAAAGAATTATTTTCTAACAATGTTTCTAAGGATATTAAATTGAGACAAAAAAAGTAAAAAAGTTGTTGCGATGCGATTTGATAACCTTAAAAAAATTGTTAAAAATCATTATTTAAAAAAAAAAATATCCGGTTTTCTTTTATTTAAATCATGATTAAAATGGAAACATGTTTTTGATTTAAATGAAAAGTAATAATTGAAAAATTACTTACAAATAATAATAATGATATTGTTATAAAATGACATGACTATTAATTAATTATTACTTTATTAATTTATTCTTCCGTGTTGTTTTTTTTATTCTAAATTACTATTTTCTGCTGATTTCTATACTGACTGTTTAGAATGAGTAATTATTGCTTATTACTTGGCAATTAGAAAAATAGTTAATAAACCATTTAGGAGTAAATAACTATTGTATCATTCAGTCTTAATGAGTTGCATTTTTTACAGTTAATTCTGTTGAATAACTTTTGTTTTAGAAAACAAAACTTTAAAATTTCAAATATTTATTTATCTGTAAATAAAAATGCAAATAAAAATGCAAATCTATAAAAAATATTCTAATTTATCTCTAAATAAAAATGTGAAGCTCGATAAATATTCTAATTACAGTAAATATTAAAATGGCGAACAATTATTTTTCTATTTCCACGTTGTTAATTTAGTCAATCGTTTATTGATCAACTTTAAAAGATGTTCCTAAAGTTTTAAACATTCAAATGAAATTTATTTTTAAATATTTTTCAAAATTACCGCAATAGAAAATAATGTAAATTAGACATTTATTTAGTTAAAAACACAGTTTTCTAGAAAGTTTCAAATTGATACTAAAGTGTACCAAATTTGATACCAAAATGTGGATCAAATAAAAATTAGGAACATTATTTAAATTATAGAAATAAAATTCATTATCTTACCAAAATTTTCAATTTAATTTCCACTAAACATAGAGTATATTCTCTCCGTGTATGAAAAAAGAATAAATATCAAATATCTCCATACATGGCTAAGTTCACTCATTTATCTCTGAAGTGTGATGCGAATCGATTCAGTCTTTTATTAATCGATCGCTTATAGATTTACACGGTTTTGAGTCACATATTAACACTAGACAAACGCACACAGTCACACTGAAACTATTCACGATCATTTATATCTAAATAGTATAGAATGAATAAGTAATTGCTCCGTTGAGAAGTGATCGAGTGATAGGGAATTTTCAAAATTCCTCGGGCATTTAAGGGTACATTTTCGTTTTTGGGTTTTATAAGCTTTTAACACTGATGATCGGCACGTTTCATTTTTTTTCTCCTCTTCTGAGTATAGAAGAATAGAAAAAAGAGTAAAGTGAGATTTTAGAGCAGGTAACAAAACACACAACCTTCACCAGCGAGCAACAGGTAGGTACTAGCAACTAGCGGTGACTGTGCGTGCAACGATCATGAATGTGGCGGAGTTGACTGTGTTAAAGGAAAGTTCACACTGTGCTTATGCACCGTTATTATCTTTAAGAAAATAAAATATGAAAATTCTTCATTAAAGAATTTTAATAATTCATTAATTTCAACAATTTTCTTCAATTTTAATAATTTCAACAATCGAAAATTTTCTAACGAAATTATAAGAAAATTAGCTAAGTTACTATAAGAAATTATAACAAAATTTTGAAAAACTTACAAATAATCTTTTGCAAAAGATTGCCCGTATTTTCTGTTTTTGCATAATTTCCGATTTTTCAAATATTTTGGTTAATATTTTTCGATTCCTATACTACTATATTCTTTTAACAAGAGTTTTGCTCATAACCGGAAAAAATGGTATACGTACAAAACAAAGATTGCTACACGTATGAAAATTCATTATTATTCTTATTTTTTGCCATTTACAAAACAATAATGTACAATGTTGTTATAATAAGTCACGTCAAAGTGTTCAAAGTTTATGTATAGACATTCCAATTTCATTTCCAGAAATACACTTTAATAAACCTGTTCTTTAACACTCCATAAAGATGAATTTTTTTTTAGAAAACATTATTTATCGAACGATGTTATTGATAAGAATTTATTCCTATCAGATATTTGATTAAACTCAATTTTTAATCTGCTTTTTTCCAATTATCGATTTCTTTTGTTACAAAAAAATTTGTCATTTGTGAAAATTCTTGAATTTCTGAACACTTTTAATAACTTAATCAAATTACAACGAATTGATATCAAAAATGTAGATCAATGCAAAAAATGATCTAAATTTTTGGCATTAATTTGATCCAATTTAATATCAATTTGATATAGTTTCAAGAAAAATGTAAACTTTTTGATTTCAAAATTTCTACTAACGAAAAAAATTTTTCTTGCAAAACGGAAAAATTGCTGTTCGTTTGGAACAACGACAAGTTTCTTTATAGAATAGCGAAAATTAAAAAAAAATAACTTTCTGCTAGTTTAGTGAAATTTGTAATAGCTTTTTCCGTTAAGGTCGGAAAGAATAAATTATCAGTTGAATGGGTAAGTGTGTAGTAAATTATGAAAGTGAATATGTACTAAATTAATGAAGATTAAACTACTTGATTTAGTATCAACTTCTAAATGATCTATTTCTGTTTGATTTAGAGGAATTAAGTATTAGAGATGCACTAAATTCTGACAAGTTTGCTCTCTTTTCAAAACGTTTACGCGCTCGGTTTACACTGAAGATGCAATTTCCGCGGTTACGATATGTGTCTTCAGAGAAAGCCGTTTTGTTCAAATTAGATTACAACTTCCTATTCTGTGAACATTAAATATACATGTGTATAAATTGTCCTAGAAAGTTGAAAATATTTAGAGTTATTTACTTACCAGTGTAAAGATTTAAGTTTCCAATAATATAAAGCGCAAAAGGAATAGATTTTTGTAATAATTATATTACGAATTTCGAGTCCGCAACTTTTTTTTTTAATTTAAACGATCAGATCTTTAAAAACAAATTGATTTCTTGAAAATTTGTTAAAATCAAAATAAAAAAGTAGAGTAAATAGGTTTTAGCAGATGAGTACGAAGCCTGCTCTTGAGAATTACGAAAGAAAGCAAAATAATCGCAAAATTATCACACCTTTTCTTATAATAGTAAGATCAGATCTATACAAAAATTGCATTTCTCCTGCTGAGACTCACGAGGGCCAAAAATGATGCCCAAGAATGTGGTCCTGGACACTGACTAATAGGGTCCCCGGAAGGTATTTTATCTTTTCAGACCAAGAATAGTATATTAAGCAACAAGAGGATAAAGGCAGCCATTTGTTTACGGTGATTTTTGTGACACGAGTAGAGGTCGAGGGCGCCCCAAGACCGGAACGAGTGTCACAAAAATCATCGTAAACAAATTGGCTGCCTTTATTCCCGTGTTACTTACGATATTTTTTATTCCTAATGCACAAAAGTGTCGATTTCAGATAGCAGACGACAGGGAGTAAAAGTCATTCACTTGTTCGACTTGTATGAAAATGGCGGCCGTTTTCTCCCAAGGGCAAGAAAAATGCATGTGAACAGCTAATTTTCTTGCCCATGGGAGAACACGGCCGCCATTTTCATACAAGTTGAAGAAATTAATGACTTTCCTCCCTGTCGTCCGCTATCAGAAAGCGCCATTTTTGTGCATGTGGGATAAAAAACAATTTCTCTCGAAACCAAAGAAGAAGGAGAGAAATGGAGAGAGAAAGAGAAAAGAAAGGGATGGTGAAGACAAATTAATTGCAAATTCCTTGTGGCTTCCGTTCGGTGTGAACAAAGCTTGAATTTCATCAAGGTGTGTGGAGAGGGGAGTCAATCATCGCAATGAATTACAACGAAGCAGTCACAGCTAGTGACTCATTGTATACGAACACACATTCAGAGATATACAATATACACACATAATAAAAATACCTTCCAGAATCCAGTCTAAGTATCAAATTGTGTAAAATATAAACACACAATTCTTTGGCCTTCGATTACTGCAATAAGTGCGAGTACAAAAAAAAGTAAATCAAAATTCTATTTTATACTTACCGACGCGACATTCTATTCTTTATAGAAAATGAGAAAATTTATACCCATGGGATGTAAGAGTGATTTTTCACAATATTCCCTTTCTTGGAATTGACAGCAGCGGATCTTGAAATGTCGTCGAAGAAGAGTTTACGCGATATATGAGGAGTAGTCATTTGTTGCTGATGCATAAATTTCAGATAAATTTATGTTTGCATAATGTTAAGGAAACAATCGTACATAATGATAAATCGGAAAAAGGAATCAAGTTTGCAAATTTATAAGGAATTTCCATTTTGAAAACGAACAAGTAAAAAAGACAATTCAGAATGTTTCTACGGATATCAGATTAAGGTAAAACGGATCAAAATTGTTCAACATTGATCCATTTTGTCTCACATTGATATCCTTAGAAACATTGTGTTTTGAAAAAACACAAGAATCTCTTTTGTGAAACAACATTATCTTCCTAAAAATATAAATCTATAGATGCAACGAGCATAAATATTTTTTCTCCCCGGAATCGAGAAGAAAATTAAACAAAACTTTTTGTTTTTTTGGAGGAACGGAAGTTCTTTAACGTATATAGATTTTAAAGAAGCATATACCAGAAGCCCAAAGGAAATGATTATAAATGTCTGCTGTGATACTTCCGATTCGTGGAATTCGCGCATATAAGACTTGTTTATGGAAAAAGGCTGTTTCCGTTAGGCGCTATACCATCAAGAGGTTAACGTATGAAATTCTTTACGTGTTGCGTAAATACTGTATAAGATGAAATATGTGCTTGTTGCTTGCCCTCGCACACTGCACGGATATTCAGTATAAAAAAGACTCACGTGCTTCGGGAACGACCAGCCATTTACTACGCATTCACTAACATGCTGTACAAAATTTATGACTAACACATTTTGCAAAAGAGTTTCAGTATAAGAAGACAATAATTGTTTCTTTAAGAACAAAACATGCATTCTTAATCGGCTCCAGAATGCAGTTTAACCTTCATTCATATATAGTAGAGGAGAATCATCCTCTGTCAAAATTCAATAAATTATCATCATTAAACTTAGTATTTAGAAATGCGAAACAATTTTTATGTATTTGCACCAACTTTATTAGGAACTTCATTTATCAGGAATTCTTTAACCTTATTTTCAAAAATTCTTTATATTTAAAGAAACGCTTCATTTTTAAAGAAGTCCTCATATTTAAGGGCATTTTAACCATTATGACGTCACAATTTGTACCAAGCTTGTGTTTTAAAAATGTGACGTCATAATGGTTCAAATGCTCTTAAAGAATTCTTCAGCACCTTTAAAGTATTTTCATTCTGTTGTTAATAATTTTCAATGAAAATCTTTTTACCCAGAGAGAATTACCTATTCTTTAATATTCGAAGGAATTTTTTAATCATCGATATCATAGACTCGTACAATGACCAAGCCGTAAAAATTAATGTGATTCAAAAAATTAAAGAACTTCCTCAATGAAATGAGAGGTCAACGGAAAAAAATATCTGAGTAGGCGAGAAGAGACAGGCATAATTAGGGCAAGTAAATTCAATTACTCCAGTCATTTAGAGCAGAGGGAATATAATTTAGAATTAAAATAATCTACATTGTACAGAAAGTAAAACAACAAAAAAAGCTTGTCAAATATTAACACAAAAATTGTTTTAAATTAATACAGATCGGAAAATTTTTGAGGTAAATTATTAAAAGTACTTGCGGAGAAATCAATGAGACTTCCTACCCTTTTTGAGATACAATTATTTGTCTTGAGTCCAGACAGTTTTTTCCGCTACTTTCACATAGGCGCCACTATAAATGTTGCATGCAATTATGTCACGGTAGCAGTAACTACATATTACATGATTTATATTATTCTCTCTTTCTCTCGAGTCAAAGTTCACTGCACAAAAGTGTCAAATGGCAAATGTATATATCTGGCGTTTTTTATTTTCCTTTTCTTTTTTGTTTTCTGTATCACCCGCACATGTGTGTGTGCAAGAGAGAACAATTTCACGCAGTACACTTTACTTGATGTCGAGGTCGCGGATTACATGACACAAAGGGTCTTATTTTTCTTTCACATGACAAAGAGCTCTCTTGCTTGTTTCTTTACTCATCGTTTTGTCACTAACTCTCTCAGTGCAATAAGGTTTGCAGCAGAAAACGGTAGATTTTTCTACACGATATAAATACAGTCATTTGTTACTTCCACACAAAACAAAGAGATTAACATCATAACAATGTAACTAATGAATATAGTAGTAGATGGCATTTAGTCTAACATTACTTTACTCTAAATTTAGTCTAAATTAACATTTTTCCATCATTTTCTGCTTCTTTAAGGAACTCATAAATTGGATCAAAAAAATATTGGTAACATTTCGTAACGATTTGA